CAAAGCTTAGCATCCCGCAGATGCCAGCTGCGATAACGAAAGCGCCAAAAGATACCTTCATCTTGGACAGGTTAAGGTTTGAGACACGCGTGAAACTCGGTGGCTTCAGCTCATGCGTAACGGAGGTCTTCTGCTGTCGAGTGTGCTTTGGAGTGCTTTTACGCACTCATCACCGCCGGCTAAGTAATCAGGAAAAAATATCCCTCCCCAAAATCTTTCCAATCGACTAATCAAATTGTTAAGGGGAATCGATATTCATTTCCGTTTTCAATTAATGAATGATCACACAGTAACAAAGAGATAAGAACCTGCCTGAGCAGCCGCAGCTCCTGTCTGGGAGGGACTCGGATTCACACTGAAACGCACACGTTTACGCAAAACACGGAGGGAGCAAATAGCGGAGAGTTAAGAGGCTGCACTCATTTGTGTTTGAGTAAAATACTTTAACCTCAATTTCAAGCTGTGGTATGGAAAAAGCTAGAGATGCAAAGGCTTATATAAATATGATCAAATCTAAATACATTATACGGTAAATACAGCCAGACCTTTTGAGTGGAGGATTCATGTTGCTCTAACAGACTACATCTATATTAAAGACACCATAAATAATTATGTTACAGAATCAAATATTTATTGGATATCAGATTACATAAAAACAGAAAGTGTTAAAAGATAAAAACACATACGTGAAAAAAGATGACATGAAGGCACACAAAGGAAACATAAAAATGAGTTTGGTGAGGAACAAGTCAATTCTGACAGCTACAATTATTCTCTCCATCTTTCTCAAACACACAAACGAGCTCATGTCATTCATCTGAATCTGTCGCTGTGTCACTCTTCTCCCATGGCCGTCTTGATGATGTCTGCTCGCCTCAGTTTGGCTGCCTCTTCAAACTTGGTGACGGCCTCATTACAAGATTTGTTCTGTGAGCAAAGGAGATCAACTGCAGATCAGTAATTAAGGCCTTGTTGTCATGGAAATAATTAGCAGACATTATTCTAGTTGGCAAAGTGTTCGCTCGCCAGACATATCCCAAAAAACTATTTAATAAATTGTTATTATACAAGACAACAGATTCGTGACTTCCTATAAAGAACGTACATTGATGAACTTGTGCCTCTCTTTCTGCAATCTGTAGAATTCCTCCACAGTCAGCTCTTCCACTTTTTTCTTCAGGGCAATGAAGTGGCAGGATGGCGAATGAGACTTGTGCTCCTTTCTGGCAAAAACAAGAGATAGATGAGAAAGTAAAGAGCTGTGGGCATGTAGTCACAAAGACTCCTAAATAATGCCACTGAAACACAAGTCTTGTTAATTATGACAATAAGAGTCAAAATGGGGGACCAGGGGTCACAGGCAAACTCTCGCACATTAAAGGAAAGGCTTATAGGAGTCAACAGCTGTTACTGGAGGAGAAAAACAAACAAAAAAATAATAAATCACCAAGCCTCACCAAACACTCGTGTCACCGGATCGCTCACATGTTTTTATTACGAGTGAGCCAAAAAGGGGGAAATAACCCAGGGTGAGCACAGATGGTTCTGAGCTGTCATAAAATGTTAGCAAAAATCACTTGGCAATAACTTTGACACCAATTTGGCAACATGTTTGAAGTTTGCTTAATAATACTGAAGACATGCTGGAGACATTATTAACAACTTGTAAAAACAAGAACGGCTTAAATTTATGGAAGAAATTAACAACTATTGGGCAGTTTATTTTTTATTTCTGAGCCCAGTAATGTGATGTGTGCTCTTACTCTGGGTCATCCTCTGGCTCCCAGCCCTCCAGCTCTTTCAGGCAAAAGAAACACATGGCGATGTCTGGGCTGTTCTCTGAAGGTGTGTGAATGAAGCCGGCTTTAGCCATCTGCAGGAATAAATGAAAATGTCATGTTGCACAAAAGTCTTCATATACAGCTTTTCACACGTACCACTCGGGTTTCTTTAATTAAAATGAGTCATTTAATATATTTATTACCGTACTCACTATATTTAGGTTTTGTATTTTTTTTTCTAGCCCTTTTGAATTATTTTGTTTTTTTGAAGCTATTTGTTTTGTCATAACACTACTACTACAAATAATAATGACAACAACAACTACTGACAGCAGCATTAACTCAAATAACCACTCATTACAAATGTAGTATGCAGAGGCGCATCTCCGAACACACAACACATTGAACCTTGAAGCAGATGGGCTCCAGCAGCAGAAGACCACACTGGGTGCCTCTCCTGTCAGCTAAGAACATGAAACTGAGTTGCAGTTCGCAGAGGGTCATTAAAATCTCTGCTATAAAGTCTCAGTATCTGTTGTGGTATTCAGATCTCAGTGTCAGAATTTGGCATAAACAACATAGAAGCCTTATGCCTCCTGTCAACAGTTCAGGTATGTGGGATATCTTCTTGGCTGATTTCGGGCCCTTTACTACCAACTGAGCGTCATTTAGGCAACACCACAGGCAACTGATTATTGTCACTGTCAATGTCCAGCGCTTTAGAACCACTGATGGCTACATCCAAAAGGCTAACCCACCATGTCACAAGGCTTGAATTGCGTAAAGCTGTTTTTTTGAGCTTGACAGCGAGTTCACTGTACTCAAATGGCCTCCACAGTCACCAGATCTCAATCCAGTGGAGAGATTTTGGGATGTGGTGGATGCATCATGGATGTGAAGTCTACAAATATGCTATCATGTCAATAGGAACCAAAATCTCTGAATGTTTCCCGCACTTGGTTGAATCTGTACCACGAAGAGTTAAAACAGCTTCGAAGGCAAAAGGGGGCCCAACGCGATAGTAGCAACTTGTACCTAATAAATTGACAGTACATGTCCATAGTGATGTGACGTTCTGTATCGAGGCTTCAAAGCGTGTGTCGAGTAATGGAGGGGGCGTTTCCGCGATGCGCGTATCGAGGCTTGCTTCATTTATGGGAGGAGCTGAAAATGATGACGTCCGAAGCCTCGCTGCCCGGCTGTACCAGGTGACTGGTTCGTGAAGTGGTTCGAACTTTGCCGCGAGCTATGACAGCGATATAAACCCCTCAGACTTCATTCAAAATGTAGGTGTTTGATGGAGAGTTGCGGTTAGTGAGAGTTTGGAGACAGTTTGGAGGTTTATGAGAGAAAGTCAAGAGAGAATGGAGCCAGCTAAGAAGAGGAGGATGTCCTCCCCTGTGTGGGAACATTTTGATCTTATTCCTCCCAACAAGGTATGTAAATTTCTACAGAAGATGTATTTTCATAATACTGATGGTGCAATACAATTTATGTTAAGCTGTCTTTACTTTTGTACAAGGTGAAGTGTTTGCTATGTGCCAGGGAGCTGGGATATAACAACAACACCTCATCCATGCTTAGGCACTACAGAGCTTTGCATGAGAATAAGGGTAACGCCGATTGAGGAGCAAGACCAGGTGAGCAATCAAATGTCATGATAATATTACTAATATTAGTAACATTACTAAATGATATAACAATATTATACAACTGTAATAAGTTACGTGTGTGATATTTATATTTGTGCTTTGTCTTTATTGTCTTTTCTCAGGAGAACAATCTCAAATAGATGAAGACCTGGTTAGGATGGTGATTGAGGACTCCCAGCCATTTAGCATTGTGGATGACAAAGGATTTAAAAGATTTGTTAAATCATTAAATCCTAGCTATGTTCTCCCCACTAAAAAGGTCATAAAAGCAGTGAAAATGTAGTTTTTATAGAATAAAATGTGAACAGGCAGGACTGAGGCTCAAAGCCTGTAGCTGTCCATACCTCAACGTTACAAAAGCACAACCGCTGTCCACACCTCACCTCACAGTAAATGATCATTTCCATTTTAAGCATTTCCAAATAATCATTTTCCATACTGCCAGTATAAATATAAACAGTATACTTCCATCACTACAATATACATGTTTTACACACTCCTTTTGTTGTTGACATTTACAGGCTGTGTGCAAAAGGCCATACTCTTCAAATTCATGCCAACTAATATTTTTACGTCCAGTAGGTGTCCTACTAGAGCAAATGAAGCTTCAAGAAGCTTTGCACTGGGGTGAACCAATTGGATGAAGAGCTTCAGTGCTTCATGAAGCTTCATCTGCCCATCACTACATGTCCATTACTATTTAAATTTAAGCAGTTTTAATTGAAAAAAAAAATAATTCGGATGAATCAACAAGGAAAACAATAGATCCTTGCAGTTAATGTGTCGGTTTCAGCGCGTTAAATGTGAGGATTTGTCGTAAATTGAGTACATTTAGGTTTAGGGACTAGGAGCCAAAACAAGTGTGTATTTAGGCATACAGATGGGGAGTCAGAAAATTTGTATTTCATTTAAATCTACAGCTAAACCAGAGTTTAGCTAGATTGTATTTCATCTGAGCCGCTTTTCTTTTTGCTTTCACGCCAGCTACTGTTGTACTGTTAGCATGTCAACAGTAAGGCGTCGCTCACCGTTTCCAACCTCAGTTTAAACGTTAACTCACGTTTTCCGGCGTGCACTTGCAGTCTTCGTCGAATGGCCACCCCTCATAAGTTTTTAACCTATTCTCAAAAAAATACATTTTGATGTTTTCCTCGTTGTATGGATCCATTGTATTCACTGTCGCACGAACCCGTGAGCTAAACTACAGAGCCTTTTCAAATTTCGACGACACTTCAATTCGGCTGTTTTGATTGGTTGCCCACCTTCTTCGTGTGTATATTAGTTAATCGTATGAGCACAAGAGCGCCATCATGTGTTCTTGACCGAGAGAAAAAATAAGGAAATTTATTAGACAAATGCGCTCAAACTACGTTTAAAATTTGATTCAACTTTATTTAAAAAACAAAACAAAACTTGCTCTCATTCATTACTCTCTACCTTCTACGTGAGCACGAGTCAACCTTAAGTTCAAGCATCCGTTATACTTGCGTCCCACTTCCGCTTTGTGGTCATGGGCAATGTAGTTCATTACGTTTATTGGTCGAAAGCACAACGCGCGGAACTTTGTGAGACAGTGTCACATCCTCTGTCAACAACCGGTTCACATAACCTCACATTAGCATCCCTCACTGAGCTGATAGTACCATTAAAGTGAGCTTAACGTGACATATGCTCATTCAGCGGCTTCTTCTTCTTCTCCTCCCGGGTCCAGGTTATGGAGGGACGGTGTGCTGTCGAGACTTGGGCACAGTTTGGGTTTTCGGGAAGATCTTATAAAGTGAAGATCCTCTGTGGTTTCGGAACAGATGTTTTAATCTGCACTGGCACTGAAGAGATCTACGTGTTCAGTAAACGTGAGAGGAAAATCACGGCAAGTATCCGATTTACATGTATCAGACACAGATAAATAGATATAGATCTATGTACTTTATTTATCCCACACTGGGGAAAGTCACTTGTTACAACACCACAAGGGTCAGAAAGCAAAAAAGTTAACTAGAGATATATTAGGGAAAAAAAAGATACTAATAAATCTAGATATCAATCAAATATTAAGCTATACTAAGACATAAGCTACACTGCAGGGCATATCTCTGGATTAACCATACTGTGTGTTGCTTCGTATTGTGCTGTTGCAGACTGTCCTCCTGTTACCTGCTGCTGTTAGTGACCTGGTTGGAAACCAGGACAAGCAGCTAATCTATGTTGCATGCAGGAGTGGAGTTTACCGTGTAAACTTACAGTTTCTGCTACACAGGTATGAACCCTCATAGTTAGATTTCAGTAAACCTTTTTTAATTAATGCTGTTATTTCAACTCTGCTAAATTGCTCTTATGTAATATGACATTTCTCCTCTGCAGGGATCAAAGCTCTCAAGCTGATGCATCTTCCAGTCCAGCTGAGCTGAAAATCTCCCAAGAGTGTCTCGTTGTTGGAGCAGATGAAGTGTCATCTCTGCTCCTCGTTGGCTCTGTGCTCCTGACCCTTTGCCAGAGAGATGCCTCCTGGCTGCTGACTTTGTACAAAACGCCAAAGCAAACGGCGTCTACTAGCCACGAGGAGTTTGGCTCGTTCCATCTGCCGGTGGTCTCAGCTGTGGACTGTGGCGCTGCTGAGTCAAATAGAGGACCAAGAAAGGGCTCTGTGCTAATTTGCATCCATTCAGGTGATGTAGAGGCATCGTCTCCCTCCAATGCTTCTGCAGAGTCAACTGTAGCTCAAGACCACTTCCACCTGGAGCCTCTCCTCTTCAAACTGTTATTTGGAGTTGAAGCCGCCCTTGCCAAATCTCCAGTCATCCTTTGCGGCCTGCCAGACGGGCGCCTGTGTTTCCTTCCTCTGCGTCTCCCGGGATCGCGCCTTCGAGTCCTGCACAGCCTGGAGCAGCCGGTCTGTTTTGTCGGTGCATCTGTTGTCACAGAAACGGGTCACGCACAGTGCTTGGTGGCGGCGGGCGAACAAGGCAGAGTGGTACTGATCAAGACTGACAAGGCAGGCTCAGAGGGGGGAAGCGCTATGGCTGCTTTTACTGAGGGGTGTGTACCAGGGCCTGTATGGTGCGGCTGCATGGATAAAAGCTGTTTTTACTACAGCACTGGTGCAGATCTGCTCCGACTGGATCTGTCGGAGGGATCGTTTGCGAGAGAAAGCAAAGAAAGAGGGGAAGAGACATCTGGGATGACAGCGGCCGCCCTTCAGAGCCCCAGCAGTTTAAATGTGTGCAGAGTCATCGCCCTGGCTGAGCCTGCATGCAGCACTGCGGGTGAGCAGAATAGACATGCTGACTTTGAATGGATTTATTATAAGTTCAGCTTCAATGTGCTCTTCAAGTTAGGAAACAGAAAAATGCACAGGTTCTACATGTTGTGCACTCATGTAATTCTGTCTTGTATTCTAATTTAAACTCTCAAACTATTTTTCCTAACTCTAAAAATGCTTCATGCACAGCAGGTGATGTACAGCTGCTTGGAGTGTCTGCCAGAGGGCAGCTCCAGAGGATCTGCTTACCTGCGGGGAGGGTGGATGAAGGATCGTCTAAGCTTCCTTCCACACAGGTGTCCCGCAGTGTCAGGGACCTCCTGTCTGCCATCGGGGATGTTTGTGAGAGGTATGCCTGTCAAGTATTTGATCGGGTGTGAAAGACGACATTTAAATAAAACACAGCAAAGATCTTTAAATATATATGTGATTTTTTTTTGCTTTCTTCATATAGAGCATCAGTGCTGAAAACAGTCATCAAATCCAAAAACCAGTTTCTGAGGCTTCTGAATCACGCCGTCAGCGTCAGTTTCCTGCTGATGGCAGACACAACTACTGATCTTCCAATTAAGGAGAAACCAATCAGATGTCATTTCGAGACTAGCTGGAGCAGACTGCTTCAGAAAGACTCTTTGAGCCTCGTGTGTTTCCTGCATAATTCAAGTCCATTTGTCCTGGAACGAGGCTGGACGCTGAGCATTACGGTGTCCCCTCTGTCTTATTCTTCCTCCCCAGCAGGAGAAAGCTCCTCCACTAATTTTTCATTCCCGTTTCACGACCTCCGTCCGGGGCAAACATTCGAAGCGTCTCTGCCTATCGCAGCTGCAGGTGATGCATCTTTCCCCATGACTGTGAGCTGCTCGCTCATCTTCTCGCTCTCGAGTCTTCTGGGAGAGGAGGAGGTGGCGGCGAGCTTTGCAGGCTTGCAGAGCAGCTGTATCAGTTTGCCCCTGTCCACACTGACAGTGGACTGGCTGCATGCTCTGCAGCTAAACAGTCCCACAGCTGCTCATAAGATGGCCACAGTTCAGCCCAGCAGCGCCGCAGCAGATAGCATCCAGACCTTTTTAAGCTCGCGCCAGCTCAGGTGCAGCGGTAGAACGAACAAAGGAGGAGAAAGTGCTGCAAAGCCTGAGTCTGAGAAGTATTCAGCAAGCGTATGGGTGTCATCAGAGATAGTGAGGGATACGCTGAAGCCAAAAAAGAGTTCAAATTTGGATGCCAAAGAGTCGATACGAGACCCCGAAGATCTCTGCCTGTCTTTGCTTGAGCGACTGTTGTCTGAAGATACTGAAGGAGTGAAGATGGGTTGCCAAGGAGACAAGATTGCTTTGAGCACCTCAGTGGCCCACGCTCGTGGTCCAAACGGAGCGGCAATGAAACTGACAGTGAAAGAGGTGAATCGTTATCTAATATGATATAATCATATATTGGTATGTTTTATATCCTCATCGTCAATGCTCCTTTATTCTCCAGATAAACGTGGGGGAGGAGGAGAGCACAGACAAGGAGGCTACAATTGAGGTTCAGATCGAGAGCTCATCTTTAGCAGCGGTGTGTGGCCTGCACCATGCTGTGCTGCGCCGGATTCAGGTCCAAAACACACTTATATAACATAAGCTAATTTCTGGCTAAACTTAGGTAGTTGCAGATTTTGAATATTTTGCATTCTTCTTTTTTAATGTAAAACTGTACAGATGTATAACAGGGATGTCAAACTCACTTCACATCAAGGGCCACACTATTTGATCTTAAGTGGGCCAGCCCAATCAAACTCCCATTTCTGTCATTGTAAAGTAGTTTAACTGCACATTTAATCCCAGAGATATGCTAATATAAGAAAAAGAAGTACAACTTCAATATTATCCCAGTTTTTCTGCATGATAGAGAAACGCTGCTGTAGCAAAGGAAAGAAATCTTTCAGTGTGACTATAAGGGGATAAAATGTAAGACATTAACAGAAAAGCTTCTGGTTGCTGATTGGCCCAACTGTTCTCCAATTATAAAGCAGATAGTTTTTGTTAATTTACAGAAAATGTCCTATTTTATTTCATTTCTTTTACCACGGACACAAGAATTCAATATTTATCTCCTCTTTCAGCTTTGCCAAACATGTCTAGATGGGCCGGATTGGAGTCTTATGTTTGACACCACTGATGCAGAACATACTGCTAGACTTTTGTGATACGTGCAAATTTGCCATTCCACCTTCCAGCCACTTGAATTGGCATAAATAGAAGGAGCGTAAAAATAGCGGCTCCCTAGTGCAGTGGTTCACATGTTAGCCTAACAAGCGAAAGATCCCCCGCTTCGATTCCAGGAGGAGACACAAATCCTTTGGGAAGGGGAGGGGAGGGCTGCATCAGGGAGGACGTCCAGCCTCACAAACACACTAAGCTACTCGCAAATGCAGGAGAGCTGCGAGTCAGTGCTATGACATGGAAACTGGGACGATTCTTTTAACGTGTGCTGCAAACAGTGTGGTCGGTTTAAAAGAAGCGTTATCGTGTCTTTGGGCTTGAGAACAACGCTTCATGTCCCTGTTTTACTTGAAATTCTTTAGGTTTGAATTTTTCCTCTGCTCCTCGACACAGACTCTGCTGCAGAGCGCCACAGAGAAAGCCGCCTCTACAAAGAATGTCCAGATTTTAGGATTAAGACGGGCGCTGCAGCGGGCCGAGGTAAGTGGGCCCGCGCTTGACGATTAATCCCATTAATGTCAAAGCCCTCCGTATCATTAAATACACGTAATTATCCAGCTATTTTCTCTTAGTTCAATTAATTGATTAGCAAGACTTTAGAGCTTTTGAGGGCTTGGGATGTCTGTAAGTGTGTTAAGATTAAAGCTCGTCTGTGTTTTTTGTTTCATGTGTCCTCTGTGCGTTAACAGATCCAGCAAAGTCAGATCTCAGGAGCCTTTGGTGAGGTCGTGTCCACAGTGCAGAGAGATCGACTGCTTCTCAGTGTTTACCAAGAACTCAGACGAAATCCTCTGCTCATAGTGTAACACCTACACAGCTGCCCTCGCTTGTTTGGTGTTGTTGCGTAATCTGACTTTGCTGCCAGCCCTTTCACAGTGCAAAGCACATGTAATACTTTAGACTGTAAGATGGTTTCTATATGACATTTTACAGTATATTTTGATTTTGAAGAGGTTATAATTTGGTGATGTCTAATAATAAAGTTTCTCCTGTTTTTTCACATGACAATAAATTCAGTGAAGTATTTCTGTAACTTTGCTCCTGTTTGTGTTTACACTCATGTAACTGTTTTAGTTTCCAAGTATTAATATTTTACTACACAACCTCCAAACAGGACTCGGTGCAAAATGTACATTTAAAACAACACAATACTGTGCATGTTACTTTAACCCTAAGTATAGTTTCCCAGATGGCTGCTCCTCCCTGAGCCTGGCTGTGTCAGAGATTTCTTCCTGTTAAAAGGGAGTTTTTGCTTCCCACTGTTGCCAAGCGCTTGCTCATAATGGGTTTAAAATTGTATAAAGATCACATAATTTGACAAGCTCCAGAACTGTCTTACAGGTGCATTTTTACAGTCTCCTGATATTTCAGGTGTGTGTGTGACACAGTCACTACATTGGACACTTTATTAGGCACACCTTGCTAGTTGATTGGGTTAATTAACCCCTCTTTTAACTTCCATGCTTTCATGTTGCTTAAGCCAAACTCTGACTCTACCAGATGTCACAGCAGAAATTCACATTCATCAGACCAGGTAACATCTTTCCAGCCTGATATTGCCCTATTTTGTTGAGTCCATGTGATTTGCAGCGTCAGTTTCCTGTAACTAGCTGACAGGAGTGGCACCGGTGCCGTCTTCTGCTGTTCGTCTTCTTCAAGGTCTGCCGTGCATTCAGAGATGCTCTTCTGCGTAGCTTGGTTGTAACGAGTGGTTATTTGAGTTAATTTTGTTGTTGGTAAAGCAGTTTGGTCTGACATCAACAAGGCATTTTCACCTAGAGAACTGCCGCACACTGGATATTTTCTATTCTTCAGACCTTTCCCTGTAAACACTAATGATGGTTGTGCACCAGTAGATCAACAATTTTTAAGATAGTCAGAGGAGTCTGTCTGACACCAACAACCACGGCACATTCAAAGTCACTTAAATCACCTTTCCTCCCCCTTCTGATACTCGGTTTGAACTTTCTCAGGTCATCTTGACCATGTCTACATACCTAAATTCACTGGGTTTCTGTTATGTGATTGGCTGTTAGATATTCTGTTTAGTGTAGGATCTGATGCGTTGTGCTTGAACATGGAATAAACATGGAACAGACAACTGATAGATTTCAGTATCGTTATGTTTTCAGCCAATCATTTAATCCACTGCAGAAAAAACACATTCCTGATATGTTTATGTGTGGAAAGTTGTCTGAGGAAAGTGTTGCCTATGCCTTTCTTAGCATTTTGCGATGGATTGTACATTTAGGACATAAAATGGGTAATCACAGCCATTTTAACTGACACTATAATAATTGCAGGGACTGAATGTTCTTGTGATGGATAAGCTCCCTAAACCTGGTCAGGGAGATGCAAGTCATTGAATGTTATTAGCGATCTACATTAACTATCCCTTTAATTGCCCGAGACATGGAGCAATTTCTGTTTTAAAGCTCCGATGAGCTTTTAATATACAGACTCACACAGTCAGTACAGTGATTTCAAACAGTTTACATCACTGCAATAAAACAGACTTCTAATGGATACAAACCACATAATAGTAATTGAGTTTAAATGCAATTATTTTTAATAACTTCATAGTTACTCATTTGTAGACCTTGCTGTGAGTGCTATGATATGAAGAACTCAGTCTAAGAAGTGAATCTTAGTGGTTAATTTTTCTTAATGTAGACCAGACAGAGAGAAAATTAAAAGGACTGCACAGGGTTGCATTTTTTTTATTATGTTGAAAACTTGTTTTGTTCATTTTTTCTTAGTCTGTATCATTTCTGATCTGTCCAGGGTGTACCCACACTTCAGGCTTCAGCCTCCTGTGGCTCTGAACTGGATGAGTGGAAGAGAATGGATGGATCAGTCATTTCTATATTTTCCTTTTCTCTAGGACTAGCACAAGAAAAAGGCACACAAATGTACATTTGGAAACTACAATACTTAGCACTTAGCAGATATTTAAATTACAGAGGTTTTTCTGTGTGAGTGGATCAGGCACCATGTCCTGTTGTTTTCCCCTCACCTGCTGCAGGTAACACAGTACTTCACAGTACAGGTGAAGCCTTAGTGTCACTGACTTCTTTTTAGGTTCAATCATAATGAAAAGGTGACTCCTAACCAGACTAGTCCTAATCATTATACTTATAATCATTAGTATAATGATTATTCTGTTACAGTTTGAAGTCTTGAAACTAACATGCAGAAATAGCTTCTGCATGAAGTTGAATAAATGCCTCCAGATTGTTTGAAGTATAAAGTAGATTACAGGATTGTATTTGTCATGTTGTGGTGCATCGCATTCTAAACATATGTAACTCACTGAATCCTTTTTACTTAACAGCCATTGTCCCTTAAAGGTCTGGCTCAGACTCACAACTTAAGCAACACTCTGCGGGTTATTGTCTCATAAGTACAGCAAGCCGACTGATTAAAGTGTGAGCCTGCTGAGGTTCTAGGTTCAGAACTGGATTAGTGACTTAAATATCCTGGAAATAATGGGCTTGATCACTTAGAGTCATGATAGAAAGAAAATCTACCCTATTTCAATTACAACATTTAATGTATGAGGATATAATATAAATAATTTAGTCGTAAGGAGGTCTCACAATTAGATAAATACAAACATAAATGATCAACAACACATGGCATATTACTCTGCGTCCATATTTATTCAACAAAAACTCAAAAGCCAAAAAGAACCAGTGTGTGAAAAACTAAGTGCAACCTTACTGCTTCCAAAGGAATTAAAAGGGTAAGTAGCAGCCAGGTGCTGATAATTAAATGCACTTGATGATTAACTGATAATTAGCAAATGTGAGCAGCTCTATAAAAGCAGATATTTTGGTGATTTGCAGGTCTGTGTTAACACAATGCCAATAATTAAAGACATCAGCAGTGATCTTACAGAAGCAGTAGTTGCTGCCCATCAATCTGGGAAGGATTACAAGATTGAAGTTCATCATCCTAAAGTGAGGAAGATTATTCAATATCATTCAGGACAATCTTCCAAGGGGAGGATGTCCCAGCAAATTCACCCCAAGGTCAGACCATTCCATTCAGTGTTCAGAGAAATGGAAGAAACCAAGACCAAGTTGCATTTGAACAAACCACAAGACAATAGAAACAATATCCTTTGGGCAGATAAAACCAAACTAATGCACAATGCATGATACCACGTGGAGAATACAAAACACAGCATATCAGCACAAACACCTCTTAACAACTGTTAAGCACGGCGGTGGAGGGGTAATGATTTGGGCTTGTTTTGCAGCCACAGTAGCTGCGCACCCTGCAGTCACTGAGTCGACCATGACCTCCTCTGAATGCCAAAATATTCTAGAGTCAAATGTGAGGTCCTGTCTGACAGCTAAAGCTTGGCTGCTCATGCAACAGGACACTCATCCCAAGCATGGCAGCAAATCTACAAGAGAAAGGCTGAAAGAAAACAAGGTGTTACAGTGGCCCAGTTAAAAGGCCAGACCTGAACCTGAGCAAAGTGCCGAGGGCCATAACAGAGCTGTGCATGAATAAATATCTGCAAACCTTAATCAATGAAGCAATGCTGTAAAGAAGAGAGAACAAAAATTCCTTCTTAACAGTGTGAGAGACTGATAAAGTCACACAGAAAACGATGCATTCAAGTTATTGCTGTTAAAGGAAATTCTACGTGGGCTGCTCTTTCACACTCTGCATCCGCATGTTGGCTCAGTTCTGTTAAATAAATAATGACACAGTTAAATATGTCATGTGTTGTTGTTCAGCTCAGGTTTAAGCCCTGGCGTGGACTGGATATTTTCTCATTATGGCCCCACATATAAACCTAGGAATTGAAACAGCCTTTGCTTTCTTTTCACCATGACTTTAGATCTAATATACCAAGATTTTAAAAACAGATTTTACTACAGGGTTCAGTCTCAACATCGGATTCCAGTGCTAGTTTGGGTCCACTCTCTTTTATGAATGAGCACACTGACACATAAACAGAACATGAGAATTTATTTGCTTAATTTAGAGCACAACATAGAAACAGTGACAGCGGTCAGTAGCTTGGGCAGTCTTGCCAGGGCATTTTCATTCTTGTCAAAATAACAATCACTGTTATTAAGAAGGGACTGAAAAAGAGCGAGAAGGACATTTAGGAGGAGAAAGCCAGTAAGCACCTGACAAATGTGCCATAATTTCAGCAACCATTGTTGCTGCTGAAACTGATGGTATTTTCTGCTGCCATCATGGTGTGATGTGCGAAAGCTGATAGCGTCAACACGCCTAAAGCAGCAGCAGGTGAGTTCTGTTCCTTGCTGCTAAACTCTTTCACTATGACAGCCAAGGTGCATCCAAAAACAGCACCGGCTTTGAGAATAGCAGGTGATGATGAAGAACAAAATTGCTAAATTTGATCCAACAAAATGTAAATGATTTTAACAGCAAACGCAAGAGCTGATTATAAGACATTCAACAGTTTAACCCCTTGAAATCTTGAAATCGCCACAAAGATGAATCTCTCAAGAAAACATTGCAGTTTTTCAGCTTAATAAAGAAAAACAAAAGTCGACTTTCTGACTTTTATACATTCTGTCTCTCAGGCCACAATATCAAACGTCAGTGGTAAACTTGATTATAGACTGACCAGCCACTTTATTAGGTATACCTTGCTAGTACTGGGTTATGGTACCCTTGGATTGTTTTTATAGCTTTGTGGCAAAGATTCAGCAAGGTGCTGGTCCATAGTTACATGATAGCATTACACACTTGCTGCAGATATGCAGGTTGCACATCCATGATGTGAATCTGCCATTCCACCACATCCTAAAGGTGTTATATTGAATTGAGATCTGGGGACCATACAGTGAAGTCATTCAATATTCAAGAAACTAGTGACGTGGTGCAGAGGCAGCCACCACCACCAGCAGTCTGAACCACTGATACAGGAGAATTCAAGACTCATCAAACCAGGCCACATTTTTCAGGTCTTCAGTTGTTCAATTTTGGTGAGCCCGTCTGCGTTATAGCTTCAGTTTCTGGCACCCAGTGTGGTCTTCTGCTGCCGTAGTACATCTGCTTCACCATGTGAGGTGTTCAGAGATGCCCTTCTGCATACCTTGTTTGTAAAGAGTTGGTTATTTCTGTTTCCCATGAGTTTCTCCTCTGATCTATGACATCAATGAGGCATTTTCATCCAGAGAACTGGTGCACACTGGATATTTTCTGGATAGTAGTGTCAAAATATCCCAGCATATCAGCAGCTTCTGAAGTACCACCTTGTCTGGCACTGACAACCATATAACGTTCAAAGTAGCTTCAATTACCTTTCTTTATTATTCTGATGCTGAGTTTGAACTTTAGCAGGTTGTCTAGTGTGCCCAAAAGCACTGAGTTTCTGCCATGTGATTGGCTGATTAGGTCATTTTCTGCCAACTGTTGGTCTTTCACCTCATCAGGCCCCAATTAACCGACTTCTTCAAAACACACACATGCTAAGTGCAGTTTTTGACTTCTTGATTTCAGCTATTTAGCACTTGATCAGATGTACCTAATGATGTGGCTGGCGAGTGTATATTGAGTGAGTTCATAATTCCCTGCTAACACAGAAGAAGTTGCATGTAGATAATAAGCT